TCTACTCAGAAGCAATCAGAAAGGAGTTCTGAGCGTTGATAAAAAAATAGTTGAGCCACATTGAACCTTGCAACGCGTAACCACATTTTATGGGTAACATAATCGAGAAGCACAACCACTATAAATGTTTTTGAGACTTTTCATGGATATCCGTTACAAAATACTTTACAAATCCGGACTAACGCAATTCATTCGAGCTCAGATAACTATCACGTACTTGAGATGATCAGCATTTTATACCGAATGCAGTGATGTAGAGCTTGTTTCCATTGGCCGGATCAATTTTTGACCGTTCTCCTATACAATTTTTGACCATTCTCCTATAAGTATTTGAATGCAATTATGCCCTTAGTTCGAAGAGTCGCCAAAAATTTTTGTGGGTGGGTTCAATGTGAATGAAAAAGAAGCTGAAGAGAACGAAGAAGAAATCGATGAAATGATGTTTCTCGACGATTCGGAGATCGCTGTTGACAATGCCTTGCTACATATAATTCTCACAGGGATTGGCGATGATACGGTGAGTGCTTGTAGCGCTTATATCGTGAGTAAATGCTAGTTCTCACTGATCTAGGCTGGAGTCCGCAAATACTCTCTCATGGCACTGCAAGTTTTCTTTTCTTCTCTAGAGCAACCTAACGAAGTCGCGAATGCTGTGGAGTGTGTGAAAGTATGATCTACGAAGAAGCAATTCATTGTTGATGACCTTACAAATTGCGATGAGTTTTAGGACCGTTGTTTAGACAGCTCTTTGATGGTAAGGAAGCAAGCAGCGGAAGTACTTAGCTATCTTTTCAGCACATCGTCGCAACATTGGTGTGTGCCATATTTCAAAAGATACGGTGCTGAGAATTTGATTTAGGGAAGCGCTTTTAAACGCTTGGTTAGGTGCCGTTCTTCCCATGGTTAACGATAGTGAGCAAAGTGTTCAACAGTTAATCTCGCAGACTGTAACGGTACGTTATCGCAATTAGCAGCTTCTTTTTACAGTCACAGTTGTAGAAAACAATACTGGATCCGCTTCTCGGCCTCGCAGATGACACTAAGTTGTGGAAGTTACTGCAGGCAGTTGAAATGGAAAATAATAATCGGTATCATGTTTTCCTAGTTTGGTTTCTCGTGTGAATATTGAATTACTGTGCAGTCGACTGTTGACTCGTGCCTTCACACACCAGCATCTTGAGAAAAAAGTAGCAATCGAAATTGTCAAAGCACTGAATCGAAAACTGGACACATGTCCAGAACAGAGCAATGTCATATGGATGCTTCTCGCCGACTTGGGCACAATTTTGAAGGCAAGTTGAATAAACAACTTTTGTCCTGCTGAACCTAATGAATCTAAATTCATTAGGTGGAACCCCAGAAGGCTGTATCAGCATGGTATGCTCTTGAAGATGACGATCAAAACAGTAGAGTAAGTGTTACGCTTTTATGGATGTAATATATTTCTTAACTTGTTCTCAGGTTCGCTATGTAACGCAAGTGCTCGCGAGAGGTTCTGCTAGTATCACAAAAAATGACAAGAAAAGCCTGATAGATGACTTCGAAGACAAGATCGCTAATTTTAGGTGCCCTGTCGCAGTATGTGTATTGTTTTCTATTATAAGTTTTGTTCTATAGAATTCACGCGCCAAACATCTCCTCCGCTTATTGTTGTCTCGCTGAATTGTTGGATGGTGTTCGAGAAGAAGGCACAGGTTTGGTTTGATGCCAACTGGCATCTGATTTCAGACATGTGCTTTAGGAAAAAATAGGCTCAGAAATTTCGGTAAACATGTATTGAATACTTGCCGCTTGAAAATCCGTGAGTCCCTTCTTGCAATAGAGGAGGAATTAGATGAAGGAAACAATCAAAGGTAGTCGAAAATTATGATGATAAAGACTGATTACTGCAATTAGTTTAACGCTTCGCGAAATCCTTCTGATTCGTATGGTCGTCACGATTGGGGAGGTAGTCCAGCTATCTCCGGAACTCATGCGCGCGGGCCTTCGTCACTTTGACGCACTGAAAACAGTGTTGGCTTCCGACATTTTCAACGATGACGAACTTCCGGGTAAGTGAGAGTTATCAGTATCCTAAAACCTTTTGTCTTTTCCAGTTATCAACTCTGCTGTTCCATCAATTGCTCCTTCGCCGTCTTCCTCTCGCGCTCCTTCACCAGCTCCATCTGTTGTAGTAAGTTCTGAATATAATGGGAAGGTCGCAATTTCTGTATACCATTCTTGTTGGTGGGACCGGAGGCTCCCACAACGCCCTAACGAATAATGCTTATAGAGTAATGAAGGGGGATCGTCGCAGCCAGCGTCATCAGCTTCTCAACCAACTTCTGTCCAGAGTGGGCCAGTGATTCCTCAGCATATTGTCAAAGAGGCTATGAGTAACCGACGCCCGCTCCTCACGGCCCCTGTGCGAGCATACGCTGTTTGCACCATAGGGAAGTTTTGCTTAATGGTAAGTACTGACACTTATTGGTATCTAGCAAGTCCCTATTCCATAGTTTTGAGGATGAGAAAATTGCAAAGGCTACAATTCCTGTATTCGTCAAGCAGTTGAAGTTGAATCCTGACCATGTGATCAGAAACAATATAGCGATGGTCGTTTGCGATCTGTGCAAAAGGTATTTGATAGTTTATCAGTATCTTTCGCATAAGTTGTAATATTTTCGCTTAATTAACTTGATTTTATATTAGGAGCAAGCTATCTTATTCACAGATTGTATTAGGTTGATGCTTAGTTCCTGCACCAATATAGGTACAGACCGCAATAACACATACCTCTATCCTAAGTAATTCTTGATGTACCTTTCGATAGAGCAAAGCTAGCTCTACAAGAAAGTGCTC